CAGGAGCACCGGGAGCGATCGGAGCAGGACCCGCGACCCGTGGCGGGGCGGCGGCGCCCGCGCGCTTGGCGGGCGGGCCGCGCGGCGCTCCAGCGACCGCGGGAGATCGCGCACTTGGGGCCGTGCGGTCGGCTTCCCCGTCGGCCGCGAACCCCTCGGGCTCCTCCATCTCGTCGGCAGAGTGATAGGGGGTAGCCCGATCGGCCCCGGGGAGAGGCTCTTCCCCTGCGGTAGGCGGGGCGCCGTGCAAGCGAGCGTAGCCCTCGCGAAGCACCCGAACCCCCGAAGGATGCGGCCAATAGACGCGGCTGCGCACCTCGGCGAAGGGAACGAGCCTGCGTCGTCGCCGACCTCTAGAGGGTACAGCGACTCGAGCTCGAGCTCGGCAACCTCGATATCTATAACGAGGACGGATGCGGTAGTGGCGAGCGGCCGTGAAGCGGCCCCCTGGAGCTGGACGTCCACTAGCTGGAAGGGGCCTATCATCCCAGCAAAGCCATCCGCCTCGGCAGCCTCGAGCTCCGCCGTAGAGCGAAAGGCACCAGGCAGGGCCAGAAGGATGCCCCCTTCTCGAGAGGCGAGGGGGATAGCCGCCCAGCTGGTGTCGCCGTCGTCTAGGCGCCATCGTGCGTAGTCGCGCGCCGTGGGAGCAGCGAATGGGTAGAGCTCGGGCCAAAGGGGCCCTCCGCCAACTGGTGGCAGCTCCGCCATCAATGGGCGCCGCCGTGGAAGCCGCCGCCCGAATGCTGGGCGTCTGCCCGCTCGAGCGCTCGAGGTCGAGGCGGAACCCCGTAGGCCAGCGCTCGCGCCGCACGGCGGTCCTGCTCAGGGGAAGCAGGAACCGCGCCGCGCGGCCAGGCGGAGGCCCAGAGCCTCCGCCACACGTATGGGCCCAGCAGCCCGAGGCAGCAGCCCGCGCAGGCGCTGCAGGCGGCCGTCACCCAGAGGAGGGCGACGACCGTGCTGAGCAGCCAGGGAGAGACCCCGCCGCTCAGATCCACCGCCAGCCCGAGGCAGACGGTGGGGCAGGCGGAACCCGCCGAAGGGAGGGGGCAGTAGGCCCCCTCACCCTCGGACGAGTCCGCCTGCGGGATGGACCAGGCAGGCGCAGGAGGCCCCTGGTCCTGAAGCACAGAGAGGGGGGCAGCCACGAGCCGCTCGAAGAGCGCGGCCCGCAGCCCCCTGAAGAAGATCTCCCCAGCGCCCTCGAGAGCCGCTTGTGCGACCGCCTGCATAAGGCGCCCGCACGCGCGGCCGACGGGGGGGCACTTGGGCAGAGAAGCTGCGGAGACAGCAGGAGCTTGCTCACAGAGAATAGGAAGATGTAGGGACAGGAATGGAGGAGGAGGAGGAGGAGGAGGAGGAGGAGGAGGAGGGAGGAGGAGGAGGGGGGGCGCGAGGGGGAGGCAGGATGGAGGAGGGAGGAAGAGAGGAGGAGGAGGACGAGGAGGAGGAGGAGGAGGAGGAGGAGGAGGAGGAGGAGGGGGCGGAGGAGGAGGAGGAGGAGGAGGAAGGCGGGGGCGCAGGAGGAGGAGGAGGAGGAGGAGGAAGGGGGGAGGATGGGGGGGAGGGGGGGGGGAAAGGGGACAGGAACTCCCCCCCCCTCCTCCTCCTCCTCCTCCTTGTCATCCCGGAGGAAATGCAAACCGTAGCGCCCCAGGCTCTTGAGTCGTTCTGTGGCTTCCTGATGCCCCCTGGAACCTCATGTGGTCTCCTGGAGTTTGTGGGAGCCTCCTGCGCCCGCAAGTCGGGCCACCAAAACAAGCAAACCCATCGAGACACCCTTGAAATCTGGCCCACCGAAGGAATGAAAATGAGCGCCTCGCTCGAAACATCCTCCAAATCTGCGCCGAAAGCGAACGATGTTGGGACAGAAAACAGGCAAACCGCTTGAGACATCTCCACAAAACGGCCGCGACCGGGACCGTGAAATACCCCTCGGCGGCTCCCCTTATGGGAGGTGAAAGTGAGCGCCTCGCTCGAGACATCCTCCGAATCTGCTCCGAAAGCGAAGGATGTTGGGACAGAAAACGCGCAAACCGCTCGAGACATCCCCACAAAACGGCCGCGAACGGGACCGTGAAATACCCCTCGGCGGCTCCTCTTATGGGGGGTGAAAGTGAGCGCCTCGCTCGAGACATCCTCCAATTCTGCTCCGAACAAAAAACACGCAAACCGCTCGAGACATCCCCACAAAACGGCCGCGAACGGGACCGTGAAATACCCCTCGGCGGCTCCTCTTATGGGGGGTGAAAGTGAGCGCCTCGCTCGAGACATCCTCCAATTCTGCCCCAAAAGCGAAGGATGTTGGGATAGAAAATTATTCACTGCGTGGAGCTCCCCATATGTGCATCTATTCGCATGGACCTGTCCGCCGTGAATGTCTAGGCGCAAGAGCTTTCGAATATACACGGGCTTCAGTTGTGACGGTCTGGACATAAATCTAACTGCGAATGAATTGGAGTGTGAATGAGCCTCAGTAGTACGAGCGCGTCTTTGTGCATGAGCCTGGGGCCTCCTGGGGCCTCCTGAAACCTACTGGGGCTTCCTGGGGTCTCCAGGAGCCTCTTGGGGCCTCCTGGGACCTCCTAGGGAGGTTTCGTGCCCCAGGAGAGGCGCAATCTATAGCAACAGACGTACATAAAACATTGCGGATTAGAGCCACAGGAGAAGGGCAATCTATAGGAACACGCGTAAAACACCAAGGACTCGTGCCCCAGGAGAGGCCCAATATATAGAAACATACGTAAAACATGTAGGATTGTGTACACAGGAGAAGGACAATCTATAGAAACATACGTATAACATCAAAGAATCGTGCTCCAGGTGAGGCCCAATCGATAGGAGCATACGTAAAACACATGGGATTGGAGCCACTCCTGTTGCCTTCTGAGGCCTCCTGCTCCTGGGGCCTCTCGGGGCCTCCTGTTGCCTTCCGAGGCCTCCTGGCGCTTCCTGTTGCCTCCTGGGGCCTCCTGTGGTTTCCTAAGGCCTTCTGGAGCTTCCTGGGGCCTCCTGGAGCCTCTTGGGACATCCTGTAGCCTCTTGAGTCTTTCTGTGGCCTCCTGATGGCTCCTGGGACCTCATGTGGTCTCCTGGGGCCTCCTGGAGCCTGTGGGAGCCTCCTGTGGCATCCTGAGAAGAATATGCGCCCACGAGCCTGGCCACCAAAACAAGCAAACCGCTCGAGACATCCTCAAAATCTGGCCCACCTGGGAGGTCAAAATGAACGCCTCGCTCGAGACATCCTCCAAATCTGCTCCGAAAACGAAAGATGCTGGCACAGAAAACAAGCAAACCGCTCGAGACATCCCCACAAAATTCCGCGAACGGGACCCCGTGAAATACCCCCCCGCCGCCCCCCTTAGAGTGCTGAGACGAGCGAATCGCCTGAGACATCCTCCAAATCTGCTCCGAAAACGAAACATGTTGGATCAGAAAATGGCCAAACCGCCTGAGACATCCCCACAAAATTCCGCGAACGGGACCCCGTGAAATACCCCCCCGCCGCCCCCCTTAGATTGCTGAGACGAGCGAATCGCCTGAGACATCCTCCAAATCTGTTCCGAAAACGAAACATGTTGGATCAGAAAATGGCCAAACCGCCTGAGTGATGAGAGAGCATGAGTGAGTCTGAGTGATGAGTGAATCTGAGTGGTGAGTCTGAGTGATGAGTGGTGAGTGATGGGTGTGGTGTTCTGTCCTGTTCTGTGTCCTTCCGGCGCGGTCCGCCAATTATTCACTGCGTGGAGCTCCCCATATGTGCATCTACTCGCATGGACCTGTCCGCCGTGAATGTCTAGGCGCAAGAGCTTTCGAATATTAACGGGCTTCAGTTGTGACGGTCTGGACATCAATCTAACTGCGAATGAATTGGAGTGTGAATGAGCCTCAGTAGTACGAGCGCGTCTCTGTGCATGAGCCTGGGGCCTCCTGGGGCCTCCTGAAACCTACTGGGGCTTCCTGGGGTCTCCAGGAGCCTCTTGGGACCTCCTGGGACCTCCTAGGAAGGTTTCGTGCCCCAGGAGAGGCCGCAATCTATAGCAACAGACGTACATAAAACATTGCGGATTAGAGCCACAGGAGAAGGGCAATCTATAGGAACACGCGTAAAACACCAAGGACTCGTGCCCCAGGAGAGGCCCAATATATAGGAACATGAGTAAAACATTTAGGATTGTGTACACAGGAGAAGGACCATCTATAGAAACACACGTAGAACATCAAAGAATCGTGCTCCAGGTGAGGCCCAATCGATAGGAGCATACGTAAAACACATGGGATTGGAGCCACTCCTGTTGCCTTCTGAGGCCTCCTGCTCCTGGGGCCTCTCGGGGCCTCCTGTTGCCTTCCGAGGCCTCCTGGCGCTTCCTGTTGCCTCCTGGGGCCTCCTGTGGTTTCCTGAGGCCTTCTGGAGCTTCCTGGGGCCTCCTGGAGCCTCTTGGGACATCCTGTGGCCTCTTGAGTCTTTCTGTGGCCTCCTGATGGCTCCTCGGACCTCATGTGGTCTCCTGGGGCCTCCTGGAGCCTCCTGTGGCATCCTGAGAAGAATCTGCGCCCACGAGCCTGGCCACCAAAACAAGCAAGCCGATCGAGACATCCTCAAAATCTGGCCCACCTGGGGGGTGAAAATGAGCGCCTCGCTCGAGACATCCTCCAAATCTGCTCCGAAATGATGATATATTATGCCGATGGACAAGATATCTCTTTTCCATCTTGAGCCAAAATAGGTACACGGAGGAGGGTGTCAGAATCACTCCTCCTCGGGCCTGGCCGCCAACCCGGCCAGGCACGACATGCGTCGTACGCGGGCGCGTCCAAGCCGACACGCCCATCTCAGCGTCACACGCGGGCGCGTCCAAGCCGACGCGCCCATCTCGTCAGCCAGGCTGCGGCCATGCCGCGAGCCCCTCACTTCACCCGTCCGGTGCGATCATACCGCCACCGGCGGAAACTCATCCAGCCCCACAGGTAGCGGAGCATGGATTCGATCCACTCCTTCACTTGATATCCTTCTGGGTCGAACTCGGTGCCCGATCCCAGATGTTGAGCGTCGCCATGTGTCTCCTCAAGAGAGATCCACCCACGCTCTTGGTCAGCACGTCCGCGACATTGTTCTTACCAGGAACCGCAGCGATCGAGAGGTCGCCCTTGCCCACGCGCTCCTGGATCCACAGGTATCGGGATTGAACATGTCGCATCTTCCCGAGACCTCGCCGTTGGACGTGGCCCCGGGCCGCCGATGAGTCTGAGGCGAGCTCCACCTTCAGGTCCAGCCCCCAGTCTGCGAAGAGGCTGTGTAGACCCAGGCCCACGCTCCCGCCCTTGACCAGGGCGTAGTACTCGCTCTCCCCACTGCTCAGAGAGACCGTCGACTGCAAATTGCTGCCGTGCTTGATGACGTGATGCCCCAGCATCGCCACGAAGCCTCCGGTACTTTTCCGAGTGACTGCGCAGCCCGCATGATCGGAGTCCACGTACACCCGGATCTTGTCGAACATCTTCTGCTCCGTGAAGACCGTCACCGTACTGGGATGCCGCTTGAGGTAGCGGCCAACCCTCTTGAGCATGAGCCAACTCGCCTCCGTCGGCGTCTGCATGGACCTAGCGAGCGTCTTCGATGCCTCTGCCAAGTCCAGCCTGTCCTGAGACAGGTAGGCTACCCGCATGGTGAGGGATCGGAAGCGCGAAGCTTCCGCCGTTCCCAGCGCCGCCGACTTCGCATCCATCATCTGCTTGTCGGCGCTGCGCTTCTCCATCGGCGTGTCCACGCCGTTGGCCTTGCTGAGACCCAGCTCGTCGATCACGATCTCTGCGTGCCGCTTGCCCGGCTCGATCATCGCATGCCGGCAGGGCCGGCCACCGCCAGGCGGAGCTCCCGCACTGACTTCGATGACCCGATTCAGGAAGACCGCCTGCTTGTCGTCGCCCTCGTCGAAGCCGAGGTTCGCAGTCTTCTTGAACTCGTACTTCTTGCCCAACGTGGCCTCGAAGCTGTCGATATCCTGCTGCTGAGCCAGCACCGCGAAGTCGTCGCCGTGCCCCAGCAGCCTCGTCTCGTCCTCCTCCTTGTAGAAGACCGCTGGGCACGATACGCCCGCCTTGTAGCCGTGCTCCTCCAGCAGCTCCGTGTAGTCGCCCTGCCAGATCTTGCTGGCGTCCTGCGTGCCGTACCAGGACTTGAGGAGTAAGCCACACTTGTCCTCGCCGTACTCCTTGCGACTCTCCTCCTCCAGCTCCACGAAGATCCTCCGCTGCGCCTTCCCGTAGAAGTGCGCCCTGCTGATGTCGAAGAAGCCGATCTTGAAGTTGCCCGGCTTCCTGCCCTTCTTGCGAAGCGACTCCTGAATGTGGAGCGGTGCTTCCCGCGTCCACGTGACCATCAGCGAGACCAGCGACCGCATGGCCTCCAGAGGAGGCATTGCCGAGAAGACCTCGGACACCTCCAGCTGCTCGTCCGGACGCTTCTTCGCCTTGATCTCCTTCACGACGAGCCTGCTCCTGTAGTTGGGCCTCTCCGCGTCACCCTTGTTCGTGTCGACCCACTTGAGTGGGATGGGCGGACGCCCAGTCTCAGCGAAAGCCTGAGACCTCGGGACGATCTCGATCAGCTCCTGCTTCTTGACCCACTCGCGCTCGACCGCGCGAGCCTGGGCCACAAGGCCCGCCTCCAGGTAGCCGCCATTGACGTCGTCCCAATAGCTCGTCCAGTCCCCGGGCGGCACCGCCGCGTCCACAGGGACTGGGCCCGACTGCTGCACCTGGGCGGTGCTGAGCTCCCCCACGTCATTCAGCGTGTCCTTGAGCTCCTCCAGCACCGCCTCCACCAACTTCGGTGGATAGACCTTCGCGAACCGCGCGATGCCGCCCACGAGCGTGATGTGGCGATGCCACTCCGCGCGGCCGTCCACATTGCTGCAAGTGCCCTGCAGTCTCCGGGCTAAGCCTGGGTGGTTGGTGACCCACCCGGTCTCCTTGCGCACGAACTCCTCCTGGCCACTGCGTGGGTTCGTGAGCTTCATGCCCCACCGACACATGGGGCCTTTGACCGTGAAGACTCCTGGATGCGCGACCAGCTCCTTGACGATGTCCTCATTCCACGATCGCGCGCTCCAGGGATGCTCATGCAGGAAGTACCTGCCTGGCTTCCTGAGCTGACGCCAGTAGGCGTCGACTGCCACCTTCAGGTGGTGTCTGGCCTCCTCCATCTCAGCCGCCTCCTGCTCGTCGGTCCTGAACTTGGCGCTCAGGCCCCTCAGCAAGCTGAACTTCTCGCATGGAGGGGACCCCGTGAGCAGGATGGGATCCATCCGCTCCTGCTGCTCCTCGAGCTCCTTGACATCCTCGGGTCGCCGCAAGTCCCATGGCGCCCCGTCCTCCTTGAGTTCCTCCAGGTCCGCCGCGAAGCCCGGGCGCAACTGAAACTCCGCCGCCCGAGCCGAGAACCGATGTGGCGAGTGCACTTCTGCCACGTCCACGGCGCCCAGCTGCAACGCCGATAAGGCGATGCTGTCCACCTCCTCGTCGGCGATGTCCACGCCGACACTGGCCCAATGGCCGCTGACCTGTTCGCGAACGAGCGGGAGCAACTCCGCCTTCGCCCTCGTCAGCACTCCGAGCTCGACCAGCTCGATCGACGCCACGTCGAGAGCGAGCACCCGCATGTGTCTCCCCTCACTGGCGTTCCACACGACTGCCACTCCAGCTGGCAGCTGAGGTCCTTCCGCTGGCGCCGGCTGCGCCGCGAGATCCTCCATGTCCACCGGTACCGGCACGTCTGCCGGCTGTGGATCACCGCGCTCGAGGGCCTCCGGCACGTCATCCGGGGCCACCTCCGCCAAGCGCTTCAGCCGCGACCTGGTCGCGGTCATGTCGACATCCTCGGCGGCCTCTGCCGCTCTCACTGCTCCCGAACTGGAGCTCGCTCCTCCTGAAGGAGCCGCCACGCCGGAGCCTGATGCTCCCGGCTGGCTCTCTCGCATGCGCGCCGCTGCGGCTGGCGCTGCTGCTGATCGGCTCGCGGCCGGCGCCGACGCCGCCGCTGCCACCGGCTCGGTGATCCTCCGAGCCGTCTTCGGCGGAGGGGTCCCTGCCGCGGCCGCTGCCGCTGGGCGGACTCTGGCCTCCTGGCCCTGCCTCCGCTCTCGATACTGGCCGGTCCTCTCCCGGCCTGCCTCCTCAGCGTCCAGCGCTTCGAAGATTCTCTTGCTGCACACCGCGTTGTGCGCATGGCCAGCCAGCACCTTGCCGTGCTTGGCGATCGAGACGCACCCTGGGCATCCCGGCGTTGCGCCCAGCCGCTCGACGTCCGCCTTGAGAACGTACATCCTCCTCGGCGCCTGCGGCTGCGGCGGCACCACCACAATCGGTGGCGGACCGGCCTCTCCCGGTCCGACGATGGCCCGCGGCGCGCTGGCCGCACGCGGAGCCACGTCCCACGGCAGGCCCTTCAGGCTGTCCCAGCCCGCCGTGATCCACTTCTCGCTCTGCGGCAGGCTGCGAAAGCCGACCGCCTTCTTCACACCGTCGCTCGTGATGACCATCATCGAGCCGTCGCGCGGGTGGTGGCCGATGTAGCGAGCCTCCACCATCTGCTCCTCCAGCGCGTTCTTCCTCGTGCGCTCCCCGGCGAACCGCACCATCAGGCGCTCACCGAAGAGCGGGACCGGCTTCCTCCACTGCCGTCCCGTGAGCCGCTGAAGAGCGGTCTTGCCGTCCTGGCCGCGCCTGTATCGGTTGATCACCGATGCGGCGTGCTCCGGCAGGTGCGCTAGCACTGGGTGCTTGTCCTCCACCTTGACGCCCAGCTTGGACTCCAGGTCCATCTTGAGCGCTCGCACCTGCTTCTTGATCTCGCGCACCGTGACCTCGATCTCCCCATTGGCCTGATGATCGGCCGGTGCCGACTCCTGGGGAATGGCCTCGAGGCCAGGAACCTCCTCCACCGCACGCCTCTTGACCAGCAGGATCGCTGGCTCGCCGTCGGACTTGTTGACGATCTTCCTGTAGCCCAGGATCCGTAAGAAGCGTGCGAAGAACTTGATGGCGTAGGCGTCGTCGCCCTTCTTCTCCACGAATGTCGCTGCCATCATCTTCGAGCGTCGATCCCTAAGGACCAGCATCGGCATGGTGTCCGCGTCGTCCTGGCCCATGAAGGCGTAGTCGGACGAGACCACCGGCACCGCTGTCTCGTCGTCCTCCGGTGCGCGGAGATGCGGCTGGCCTTGGCCCTTTGCCGCAATGCACACGCGACACCAGCTACGGTAAGTCGCGTGTCCCATCGCCTCGTGCTCGACGATCTCCCTCTGAGAGGGCTCATGAGGTGCCTTCAGCACCCTCGGGCGAGCCTCCTCCTCGCCCTCGTCGGCCTGCTGTCCATCAGGAGCAGCTGGCAAAGCGTCAGCCGCCGCAGCTGCTGCTGGCTGAAAACCCGGCGGTCTCATGTCGGAAGGTCCCGACCCCGCCGCTGCCGCCCCTGCAGCCGATGCCGCAGGGGACTGCTGTATTGAGTCTTCCAGTGGACTTACGCCAAGGGCTGCCTCCTGGGGACTGTCCTCTCGAGGATCTCCAGCAGCTCCTCCTTCGACTTGCCGCTGAGTATCTCCACCAGCTCGGACTTCGACTTCGCCGAAAATCCCTCCTCGAGAGGAGCAACCGAGCCATGTTGGCCCTTCTTGAGGTAGAAGTTGTAGACGCCCTGCTCACGATAGACCGGCAGCATCTGGTGCTTCGCCGTCTTCGCCTCCTTCTCCAGCATGCCTACCACGCGCTTGCCGATTTGGCTCTTCTCGTGGAATATCCAGCCGCCATTGCGGCCTAGGAATGAACACTGTCCAGCTCCTGCTGCCTGCCCCACCGAGATCAACGGCTTGTGCACGTTCGTCACGCGTCCCTTGAGTGCTCGTAGCACTCCGTACTCGTCCTCCGCCTTGAGCTGCAAGCTGCCCTCGTCCGGGACGAGCTCACCACTGGCCGTGCGATACGTGCTGCCGTTGCCCTTCATTCCCGTCGGCGGCGCGAAGCTCCGCGGGAATGCTGAGACAGCTGCACCGCTGTCCCAGTTGAACTTCATCCAGTCGTCCTGCACGAAGGGGGAGAGGTCGACCGCCGCTACGCCGCGGCCGTTGCCGCTGGCGAGCTCCAGGCAGTCCAAGCTGCCCATGTCCAGAGCGGCGACCTCCGCTTCAGGCTCCTCCTCCAGGCTGCCTGCCGCCTTGCCGCCGGCCTTGCCGCCGCGGCTGCCCCCTTTACCACCAGCGCTTGCCCCCGTTGCGGATCCAGTTCCAGCCCTCGTACTCGATCCCTGCTCTTTCCTCCAGCATTCGGATGCCTTGTGGCCCCATCTCTCGCAGTTCCGACAGTAGCCGTCGAAGCGCACGCCTGTGCTTCGGGGTGCCGTGTGCCCTGAACCACGGCCCGAACCCGTCGGGGATGTGCGGGAGCCTGAGTATGATCCGCTCGTCGATTTGCTCTTCCCCTTCGGCTCCTGGGTCTTGCCTTTCCCTTTGCTCTTGCCGTCCTTGCCCTTGCCTTTGCCTTTTCCTTTCGGGGCTCCGAACGATCCGACGTCCATGTCGTCCGGATGATGCGCCCGTGCGCGGATCGATGGCTCCTTGATCTTCACGCCGGTCCGAGCCTCGACGATCGTCATTACCTCGTTCAGGCTGTCCTGGAACGTCACGAGCCGATGCTTGTTGAGTACGAGGTGGTTCTCGATGTCCTGAGGCACGAGCATCTCGAGGGCCGCCATCTTGATATCCTCCGGCAGCTCGGCCAGCCCGTCCTCTCCTTGGCGGCGTTCGTACTTGCCTATCTGCTGGATCCACTTCTCTAAGGCGGACCCCAGCTCTTCCGCGTTGCACTTCGGAGGCGAGATGATCGACCTCAGGATCAGCCTCTTCCTCGGACCTGTCGTCGGGTCCCACCTGCGGTGAAGCTTCCGCCAGGCCTCGAGACCGTTCCCGTCGGGTGCGCCCGTCACGAGGTCGTTGCTCTCGCTGCCGTCCGCCGTCGTGCTGATCAGCGCCGCGTACAGCTGGTTGATCTTGGTCACCAGCTCTGGTACTCCTCCGTGCGCCTCCTGTGCCCCTTCGATCGTCACGGGGCGTTCGGCTTCTGCCGCCCACCGGAGAACAGGACGGAAGCTCTCTCCGTACACGCCTATCACGTAGTTCTCCATCTTGCGGTTCCAAGCTCCGAACTTCTCCTGATCGTCGCCTAGCGTCGTGGGCTTGCCGATCCCCTTCGTGTCGACGAGACCTGGTGCGGCTCCTCCCGCGTGCGTAGCTCCTCGGATCTGCTCGCCCATGCGCTCGATCGCCTGCGGGATCGCCGCGAGGCCTCCTGCTACTTGCTGCTGAAGCCGTTGATTATCGTTCTCCAGCCTCCTCATCTCGTCGACGGTCTGACTCATTCGGGCTGCGAACTCCTGCCTCAGCAAGTCGAACTGCTGCCGAACTTGCTCGTCCATGTTTGATTGCGTGTCTCCTGGCGAGCTCCTCCTTGCGCTATGAGATCTCCTGCCTCGTACGCTCGAGGTCTATGATCTGATCTAAGACCTCCTTCTTCGCCTCCTCGATGGCGCCCGACGAATTCTCCGACGGGTGGTCCTCGATATACGCGAGGTCGTGCAGCTTGTTGCCCGTGTCCTTCAGGCCGTGTTTGAACTGCAACTGTCGTCGTCGATTCTCGACAGCTGCGTCGCTCCTCTTGCCGCGCCTGCGGCCACTCTTCCCGGCTCCTGCCGGTCGACTCCTCCCGGACTCTGCCGGTGGTCTCCTCTCGGCCTCTGCCGGTGGCCCGGCCTCTGCCGTGCTTGGTGCGGCTGATGCCGCTCTCTTCCAGCCTCTCGCCTCGGGCCACGCGCCTTGCCAGCTCGCCGTGGCGCCCGCGCGCGCCGAGGCCCTGGTGGGGTCGCAGCAGTGAGTGGCCAGCTCACGCTACCATGATGATATATTATGCCGATGGACAAGATATCTCTTTTCCATCTTGAGCCAAAATAGGTACACGGAGGAGGGTGTCAGAATCACGAAAGCGAAGGATGTTGAGCCCAGAAACAAGCAAACCGCCTGAGACATCCCCACAAAATGGCCGCGAACGAGCCCGTGCAACCACCCCTGGCGGCTCCCCTTTGGGCCACGAGCCTGGCCACCAAAACAAGCAAACCGATCGAGACATCCTCAAAATCTGGCCCACCTGGGGGGTGAAAATGAGCGCCTCGCTCGAGACATCCTCCAAATCTGCTCCGAAAGCGAAGGAAGTTGATGAGCTCAGAAACAAGCAAACCGCCTGAGACATCCCCACAAAATGGCCGCGAACGAGCCCGTGCAACCACCCCTGGCGGCTCCCCTCAGGGCCACGAGCCTGGCCACCAAAACAAGCAAACCGATCGAGACATCCTCAAAATCTGGCCCACCTGGGGGGTGAAAATGAGCGCCTCGCTCGAGACATCCTCCAAATCTGCTCCGAAAGCGAAGGATGTTGGCCCAGAAATTACCAAACCGCCTGAGACATCCCCACAAAATTCCGCGAACGGGACCCCGTGAAATACCCCCCCGCCGCCCCCCTTAGAGTGCTGAGACGAGCGAATCGCCTGAGACATCCTCCAAATCTGCTCCGAAAACGAAACATGTTGGATCAGAAAATGGCCAAACCGCCTGAGACATCCCCACAAAATTCCGCGAACGGGACCCCGTGAAATACCCCCCCGCCGCCCCCCTTAGATTGCTGAGACGAGCGAATCGCCTGAGTCTGAGTGATGACTGAGTCTGAGTGATGAGAGAGCATGAGTGAGTCTGAGTGATGAGTGAATCTGAGTGGTGAGTCTGAGTGATGAGTGGTGTGTCTGAGTGAGGACTGAGTCTGAGTGATGAGTGAGTCTTGATGAGTGAGTCTGAGTGATGAGTGAGTGGGGAATCAAAAACCCCATCTTTGGATATGGGGAATCAAGAACCCCATCTTAGGATATGGGGAATAACTTACGTGTGTGTCTGAGTGATGGGTGTGGTGTTCTGTCCTGTTCTGTGTCCTTCCGGCGCGGTCCGCCAATAACAAGAACCCCATCTTTGGATATGGGGAACAAGAAGTGCATCTATTCGCATGGACCTGTCCGCCGTGAATGTCTAGGCGCAAGAGCTTTCGAATATACACGGGCTTCAGTTGTGACGGTCAGGACATAAATCTAACTGCGAATGAATTGGAGTGTGAATGAGCCTCAGTAGTACAAGCGCGTCTTTGTGCATGAGCCTCGGGCCTCCTGGGGCCTCCTGAAACCTACTGGGGCTTCCTGGGGTCTCCAGGAGCCTCTTGGGGCCTCCTGGGACCTCCTAGGGAGGTTTCGTGCCCCAGGAGAGGCGCAATATATAGCAACAGACGTACATAAACCATTGCGGATTCGTGCCACAGGAGAAGGGCAATCTATAGGAACACGCGTAAAACACCAAGGACTCGTGCCCCAGGAGAGGCCCAATATATATATATATAGGAACATTAGTAAAATATGTAAGATTGTGTACACAGGAGAAGGACAATGTATAGAAACATACGTAGGACATCAAAAGACTCGTGCTCCAGGTGAGGCCCAATCGATAGGAGCATACGTAAAACACATGGGATTGGAGCCACTCCTGTTGCCTTCTGAAGCCTCCTGCTCCTGAGGCCTCTCGGGGCCTCCTGTTGCCTTCCGAGGCCTCCTGGCGCTTCCTGTTGCCTCGTGGGGCCTCCTGTGGTTTCCTGAGGCCGTCCGGAGCTTCCTGGGGCCTCCTGGAGCCTCTTGGGACATCCTGTGGCCTCTTGAGTCTTTCTGTGGCCTCCTGATGCCTCCTGGGACCTCATGATGTCTCCTGGGGCCTCCTGGAGCCTGTTGGAGCCTCCTGTGGCATCCAGAGAAGAATATGCGCCCACGAGCCTGGCCACCAAAACAAGCAAACCGATCGAGACATCCTCAAAATCTGGCCCACCTGGGGGGTGAAAATGAGCGCCTCGCTCGAGACATCCTCCAAATCTGCTCCGAAAGCGAAGGATGCTGGCACAGAAAACAGGCAAACCGCTCGAGACATCCCCACAAAATTCCGCGAACGGGACCCCGTGAAATACCCCCCCGCCGCCCCCCTTAGAGTGCTGAGACGAGCGAATCGCCTGAGACATCCTCCAAATCTGCTCCGAAAACGAAACATGTTGGATCAGAAAATGGCCAAACCGCCTGAGACATCCCCACAAAATTCCGCGAACGGGACCCCGTGAAATACCCCCCCGCCGCCCCCCTTAGATTGCTGAGACGAGCGAATCGCCTGAGTCTGAGTGATGACTGAGTCTGAGTGATGAGAGAGCATGAGTGAGTCTGAGTGATGAGTGAATCTGAGTGGTGAGTCTGAGTGATGAGTGGTGGGTGTGGTGTTCTGTCCTGTTCTGTGTCCTTCCGGCGCGGTCCGCCAATAACAAGAACCCCATCTTTGGATATGGGGAATAACAAGAACCCCATCTTTGGATATGGGGAATAAGCAAACCGCTTGAGGCATCCCCACAAAACGGCCGCGTACGGGGCGTGCGTGAGTCTCACCGTGAGCAAGTCTGAGTCGGAGCAGGTATGAATATGAATAGGTCTGAGTAAGAGTACTTTTGTGTGCGAGTAAGTCTGTGTCTGAATAAGTCTGAGTGTGAGTCAGTCTGTGTATGAGTTTGTCTGGCTATGGGGGGGAGACGGGAGGAGAAGAGGGAGAAGGAGTAGGAGGCGTCCAAACGATTACTCACTGAGTGGAGCTGCCCATGTGTGCATTTATTCGCATGGACCTGTCCGCCGTGAGTGTCTAGGCGCAAGATTTTTCGAATAGAAGCGGGCTTCAGTTGTGACGGTCTGGTCATGAATCTGACTGATAATGAATTTGAGTGTGAATGAGCCTCAATAGTACAAGCGCGCTTCTGCGCATGAGCATGGGTCCTCCTGGGGCCTCCTAAAACCTACCGGGGCTGCCTGGGGCCTCCAGGAGCCTCTTGGGGCCTCCTGGGACCTCCTAGGGGGATTCGTGCCCCAGGAGAAGCCTAATATATAGCAACAGACGTACATAAAACATTGCGGATTGGAGCCACAGGAAAACGGCGCAATCTATAGGAACACGCGTTGAACACCAAGGACTCGTGCTCCAGGAGAGGCCCTATAGGAACATAGATACACAGGAGAAGGACAATATATGATCCCGGGCTCTGGGCCCACCGGTCCCCCCCCAGATGGTATGGTCCCAGGATTCCTCGGCCCCCCCCCCAGATGGTATGGTCCCAGAGACGACGACGACGACGACGACGACGACGACGGCGACGACGGCGACGACGACGACGACGACGACGACGACGACCACGACGACGACGACGGCTGCGGCGGCGACGACGCCGGCGGCGGCGACGACGACGATGACGACGATGACGACGGCGACGACGACGATGACGACGACGAGGACGACGAGGACGACGAGGACGACGAGGACGACGACAACGACGACGACGACGACGACAACAACCTCTGAACCACCACAGCACCACACCACATCCACAGGGGGGGGCACCATAGCGCAGTACCACGCCAAGCCCACCTCTGAACCAACACAGCACCACACCACATCCACGGGGGGGGGGGGCACCGCAGCGCAGCACCACGCCACGCCCACAGGGGGTGGCGGACCATCGCGCGGGGGGGGGCCGGCCCAATGGCATCAGCATTGGGGGGGGCCCAAACCTTGGTCAATACATAGAAACATACGTATAACATCAAATATTCGTGTTCCAGGTGAGGCCCAAACTATATGAGCATACGTCAAACACATGGGATTGGAACCACTCCTGTTGCCTTCTGAGGCCTCCTGCTCCTGGGGCCTCTCGGGGCTTCCTGTTGCCTTCCGAAACCTCCTGGCGCTTCCTCTGGCCTCCTGAGGCCTCCTGTGCCTCCCGGAGTTTCCTGGGGCCTCCTGGAGCCTCTTGGGACATCATGTGGCCTCGTGATTCCTTCTGTGGCCTCGTGACTCCTTCTGAGGCCTCCTTATGCCTCCTGGGACCTCATGTGGTCTCATGGGGCTTCCTGGAGCCTGTTGGGGCCTCCTGGGGCATCCCGAGGGGAATCAGTGCCCACGAGTCTGGCCCAGCTGGGGGGTGAAAATGAGCGCCTCGCTCGAGACATCCTCCAGTTCTGCTCGGAAAGCGAACGATGTTGGGACACGTTTCAAGGAAACCGCTTGACACCTCGGCGGCTCCCCTTATGGGGGGTGAAAATGAGCGCCTCGCTCGAGACATCCTCCGAATCTGCTCCGAAAGCGAAGGATGTTGGGACAGAAAGCGCGCAAACCGCTTGAGACATCCCCACAAAACGGCCGCGAACGGGACCGTGAGATAACCCCTGGCGGCTCCCCTTAGGGGGGTGGAAATGAGCGTTTCGCTCAAGACGTCCTCCAAATCTGCGCCGAAAGCGAAGGATGTTGGGACAGAACA